CTTTACCTTCGGTGTGTGTGCCGAGATTGTTCAGTTCCCCTAAATGACACTGTCTGACAGAGGAGGCACCGGGGCGAACTTGACAGTTCAAAGACAACCACACTCTCAGCATTTCCAGCTGCCTACCTGCTGGATTAGATGAGCAGGCCCCCTCCTCCTCCGCAGGGCCCCTGTTTTCTGTACGGAGAAGGTTGGGCCAGTTCACAGCTGGAGCTAGGCCTGCTAACAGCAGTTCTGAGACCAAGATCTTTGTCCTGGGGCTCTGGCAGGCTTTTGCGGGAGGTGGAGCTTTAACTATTCCTACAAGCCAGTGTGCAGCACAGCCAGTGTGTGTGTGTGTGTGTGTGTGTGTGTGTGTGTGTGTGTGTGTGTGTGTGTGTGTAGGGGATATAATCCAGCTCTAGGGATAGAGATGAGATGTGCAGTGTGGGGCCTGGACCATGTGCACTCACAGGGCTGCCAAGAGCTGGGTGGTGGGGGAGCTCAAAGAGGGCTGAGTCCAGAGGACGTCCTGGAGGAGAGGAACTTCCAGGGGTCTCTGGATTGGTAAGGACATGCCCTAGCACAACATTGTGAGAATGAGCCATAACACCCAGATGGATGGGTGAGCCCAGGCTGTGGGGCCCTTGGGCCAGGCTGGAGCCCCATCCATCAGTGTGCTCACCAGGGCTAGCCTTGTGCTGAGTGGTTGACTTTCCATTGTCAGTGCTACCCTTAAATGTTTCCCCACTTCGCAGATGTAGGAAAGGATAGCAGTTCCGGGTTGAATCCTTGGCTCCTTCGGTGATCATCAGACTAACGGCCGTGGTTGTCTTTCTTATCGTGTGATAAAAAATACCTGTCCAAACTTAAGGAAGTTTAAAGTTTCAGCTTACAGTTCCAGCCCCTGACTGACAAGGCAACATGGAGGCATGAGAATGAGGCAGCTATTCACATCGTGGAAGCAGGGAGCTTGGGCCAGAAGCCAGGCCTCACAGTAACCCTCAAATGCCTGTCCCGAATGTTTCACAACCTCCTAAAACTGTACCACTGGCTGGGGACCAAGTTTTCAAATATATGGGCCTGTGAGGGACATTTCATACTCAAACCATCACATCCCAAGAGCCAAGGATCTGTCTTCTGATAAAATCCTGTTGGAAGGGCAGCCCCTCTCCTTCCTGTGTTTGGGTTCTGCCATGGCATGGTGGAGTAGCCATGGCTCCCCAGTCAGCCGCTGGTTGTCTGCTTGTTTGCAGAAATACTTGGCTGACTAGGTGGCTAAGTCACCAGGCACTTCTGACCTCTGCACTTGCTGTGTGGACTTGGGCAGCTTACTTGCTGTGTGGACTTGGGCAGCTTACTTGCTGCTCCGAGCCTGCCTACCAGCTCCTGAGGACTGCAGTGAGTCTCACAGTAGAGTGTGAAGATTTTATATAACCTTGTCCCTGGCCTGGTAGCTTGTTGGTTCTAAAAAACTTGCTTGTTGGAAAACAGAAATCAGTTATCATTTAGGCTTTTCTGGTCCCTGCAGATGGCTGCAGGTTACTATAGGAGGCACCCCGGGCCTTGGATGCTGAGAGTGACAGGTTTCTGCGCAGTGGAATGTTCTCGTGGGAGTCACTTTGGGTGTGGTTCTACTTTATATTCAGGGTATTATGGTAATGTGCAAAGCTTCTGGGTATACCGTGAGAGCCATTTCCTTCAGACTGACTCACTGGGGTTTCATTCAGGCTACTGAACCCTGCATTTGGTGAACCCTAAGTCTGGGAGTTTGTCCTTCAGAGTCTGGCTTTGGACCATCTAGACCTGGCCTGCCTGGGGATGAACTGCTTCTTAGAGCCCTGCCTGAGCTCCAGGAAGCACAGCACAAGCAACTAGCATCGTTCTTACTCTTCGAGTGTTCAGTATAAGCTAAGACTCCATCATATGTGTCTCCCTTGTCACCACAACCCTGTGAAGTAGGTGTCATGCAAAAAATCCGAGGCCAGGCCAGGAAAGCAGACCCCATTTCCTACTTAGCTTCAGAATTATGAGTCCATGCCCTGCTGATCCTTTTCCTTTTGGAGCCTGTTTCTTCGTATACTCACAGAACAGATGACCAGTTCCAGCCCTGACTCTGAAGGATTTCTCACCATTTGTCAAGGGGCTTGTGCTTGGAGAAAGCCAGGATGTAGGTTCCATTCTTGGCTTTCATGGCCTAGAAGGAAACACAGCTACTAGGTGCCCCATTTTATCTGGATACCCCTCCATTAGGGCCACAGGGCTCTAGCTGGACAGCTCCCATCCTCCCACTCGCCATCCTCCCTCCTGGAGACAAACATGACCAGGAGCAGGCCTATTCTGGGGTCTCATGATGCCCTTGGGGATGGAGAAAAAGACTCCACAGAGAGGAGATGGTGCCTACATTTGTTCTGTAGACATATCTCTGGGGGAGAAATGGCAGCTTGTGGTTTGATGTCCAGCCTCTGAGGAAGCGGGAGACCTTGAGCAGTGGTTGCTAGGTGACCTTAGGTGACCAGTCATCGACTCTGATGCTCAGCTCTGCCAAGTTCAGAGGTCAGATCTTCCCGCTTGGCCTAGTGGAGGACAGGAGACAAGGACTTGAGCAGGCTTGCAACAGCAGCCAATGCCAACTTTGACCTCAGAGCCTCTCCCTTTCTTTCCAGCATCACTTCTTTGTTTATTGCTGGGAGGGCTCTCCCAGACTCCAGCAGAGAAGCAGCTGAAAGGTCCAACCATTCCTTCATCTACTGTTTGTTGCTGATGACTCTAATCAGCTCAGTCTGTCTTTCCTGTGTGATCTTGGCCAAACGGTTAACCCTATTCTGTCTACATTTACTGTTTGGGAACACTTGTTGGGGGCAGACGAGGGGGGGATGGGACAGACAGAACAATACTTGGGTTTCAAAGTCCAAGAGGTCTGAGCTTGGATTGTGTCTCTGAGCCTGGTCAGAGCTGGGAAAACAAAACAAAACAACAACAACAACAAACTGTCTCAAGCCTGCCCTTGGATGGGTACCAGGAGGCTTGAAGAGGAAGGACTGGATACATGCAATGCCTATCACCACTCCTCCACTAGCCTGTCCCCACTGCTCCTTAAGTCCACCTTCCTTCTCCGCACTCTGCTTACAGGAGGAAGTACATGACCCAGATGGCTCTGAGGGTTCTGGAAGGAAGCTTAGAACCACCCTAACCTCCAGGATCTGGGAGAGATCCTGGCAGAACAGCCCCCATGATGCTCTCTGCTCCAAATGGCATTAGTGGTCATAAAATTATCCACAGTTTTTGGAGGCCAGTCCCAGGGTTTGCCTCAGTGGGACAATAAAATCGCATGCAGAAACGATCTGGAAAAGGCGAGGACGGCCAAGCAGAGTCGGAGTTAAATGAGCTGCAGCCTGCTCTCATTAACTCGGGCCATTCACATTTGTTACCAGGGATTTCTTTTTAATTAAAAAACAACCAAGTTATTAAAGCATAACCCTAAGAAGGGCTGACTGGGCAGCCGCCGAATCCAGCGGAGCGAGCGGTCCACGCAGCAGGACAGGCCGGTGCCGCCAGGGAAATGGCGTGGAACAGATGTTATTTGGAGCACTCACCCAACACGGGGCCTTGAAAGTTGTGCCTTCTCATCTGTACACTGTCAAGTGCTTTTCAGAACTGGGGAGAGTTAGTACTGTCTGTCATAGCCACCTGGTCTCAGCCCAGCTAGGACTGGAAGTGCTGTCTTAAAAGGCCACTCACTTCTTATCACACAGAAGTTACGGTGTGGGGCTGGGGGCTCGCAGACCTGAGACAAGAACACAGCACAGATTTCTAGTTGTGTGCTCTTGAGTGATCAGTGTAATTTGCATGAGCCTCAGTTTCCGCAGGTATGGAAATAAGTAGAATCGTATCCCTTTGCCAGGCCGTGGGGAATCCATGTCTTGTACGTAGTAGATCATAGGTGGCCTCGTTGCTGTCTTTGTCCTTAGTTTAGGGGTTTCCTGTTTCTTTGCTCAGGGTTGACAGTACCTAGACTACTTGGACAGTCAGTATAACATTTTAATCTTTCAAAGTACTGCATAACCCAAGAGTACTCTTTTTTTTTTTTTTCCCTGGGGCTCCTGTAGGTGCTAGCACCATGGTATCTGAAGGAGCAGAGGGTCAGTGCACATCGGGACGGGCCTGAGTTGTAGAATGGGTTCTGGGAAGTGAAGAGGCTCATGCCGTGATCCTCATGTTCCAAAGCATTACCCCCAGAAGTGACAGGGCATAAAGCCGAAAGGAATATTTTCCAGAGTGATTGCCCTTGTCCGTAGATGAGCACCTGTGGTTGAGGGGGTGAGAGAGGCTTATTATTATTAGCAAGCATATCTGACATTTGTGTTCACGTTACGGGGTTTTTAGGGCCATTCCACATACTGCCTATAAGCAGACAAGAGTGTAGAGAATAGGATAGCTGGGCCATCAGAGAACCACAGGACACAGAGATGGAGAACCATACTGACCGCGGTGTGATGGGATCTTGAAGTAGTATAGAGGAGGCTTTGGTATGAAGTGGCCCTAGATGATAAAGTTGGGCAGACACCTCCTTCTTGACACATGTTCCCCAAACACCTCCACTTCCAGGCCCCCTGCTGCAGCATCGTCTCCCAACCTCTGAGGCACATCCGGGATGGCAACTCCCAAGTCCAGCATGTTAGAACCCAAGCCCCTGCCCAGCATCTGAGTTCCCACTCTGAGGCGGTTGTAGATAACAGCCGATGGGCATTGAGGAACCATCTCTTGGGCTCACCAGTGTGTCTGACTGACAGAATTCACTGTTTGCCGACAGTCATTCAAGCAATGGAGCTTAGCGTGCACACCTGAGAACTGACGGTTTTTAATCACAGATTCTGCCAAGTGATTTTGGAAACCAAATAAGGTGTCCCAGGCCTCAAATGCAGCAAGGCGTTCAGATGGCCTCAGGGCTCTGTCCTCTTCCCAAGCTCCCTGGTAGCTGTTCATTCACCTGTCTCTTCTTTCCTGTTGTTTCCACCTAGTGAACGGGAGCTACGGACACTGCCCAGAGAAGAGCCTGCTGGACCTGGACCTGCCCGAGGGTCCCAGCCCCTCCTGCCACCAGGGTCTGTTTCTCCCTGCAGGGACCCCACCTCCCCGGGATCATCCCCCTGTCTGCGAGAGGCTGCTTCATTTCCCCCACCCTAACAGGTATGTGTCTATTCCTTCCACCTCACCTAGTCTGGCTGGCTAACGGGTCACACAGAGAAACTGAGACGCAAAGGGACCAGGACGTGTCTGAGTCGGTTGGCACAGAGATGCCTAGTGCAGGCCCTCCTTGTTTTCTCAAGAGATTCTAGGGGACACAAAGATGGCTTCAATGAGGCGCATGTCCCTGTTTCACAGGCTGAGGTGGCTCCATGTGCATGTTTTTGTGGGCGCACACTACTGATCTTGGGGGCAGCATGCCTGGAGCCCACTTCATGGGCATGAGGCTCTGGATACTGGCCCAGATCCTAGTTCGTGCTCCATTGCTCCACCAGCCACGTAGTGCCTGCCCTGTGCCCAGTGCTGGGCCAGTGCTGGTGTCCTTGGGGTAGGGGCAAGGATCCCCATTCCAGGAGTGCTGAGCATTACTAGATAGGAGGACACTGAGAATTTTGATTTCCTGTGGTCTTCTCTGATATCAGCAAGGCTTCTGTTTTGAAAGAGTTAATTCATTTGGTCAGGCTGTCATAATAAATGTCATAGATTGGGTGGCTTAAATAAAAGACATTTATTTCTCATAGTTCTGGGGGGCTGGAAGCCCAAGATCAAGGGTTGACAGGTGTGGTTTCCCCAGATCTGTCCCCTTGGCTGACAGGCAGTCACATGGGCAACCCTTTATCTCTGGGGTCTGTGCTCCTATCTTATAAAGGAATCAGACATATTGTAGTAAGGGCCTTCATAACCCCACGTAGTTTAATTTCATGCTTAAGGCCCTGTCTCCAAATGTAAGTATTCCGAAGGTTAGGCTTCTGACATAAATTGGGAGAGGCTAGTCCAGCCCATAACAGGAATAAGTATCTTTTAGGCTTTAATTAGTGATAGTCACGTGTTTCTATTGCCTGCATTAGTCGCCAATGATCTGGCAAGACATGTTCCTGGGAGTGGGAAGGGGAGATGAATTTTATGTTGGACTGTGTGGGCTGTTTGTTGCTTTAATTTTGCTAAAAAAAAATAATCAGAAGCATCATTTATCCCTTTAAGTATCATTTTGACAGTACCAGGCATGGGAGAGTCTGTATCAGAATCCTCTACTGGTTCAGTGTCGGCTCCACAACCTCTGATTGGCTGGATCTGAGCCGACACTTTAGTTTCCCTCATCTTCTAAAAGAACATGACTCCATTCTAGACCATGCCCGAGCCCAGGCCTGCCTCTCTGCAGTGGGCCTCCCTCTGCATTCTGTTGTCCTTCCTGTCTCTAGCCCTTGCTCTTCCGCCTGGCTTGGTCACCTTGCCTGAGCCCCTAGATGTGAAGACCTCTCCTCACCCCCCACGCCTCTATTGCAAAAACTGATGGCTCAAGTTGAACACCTTCACAAAGAACCCAAGACAATGATCCAGAGGAGGTCTATGCCATCGACTTAGAATGTTGATGCCCTAAAGAAATGATACGGTTCTCCCAGTCAGCATAGTGGTAGGATGCTGGCTTCCCAGGAATGGCATTGTGAGCGTGCTGGAATAATGACTCAAAGACCCAGGCGTCTGCTCTTGCTCCATCACCTTTGGCTTTGGGGTTGCGAGCGTGTTTAAAATAGGAGACACGTGTCCTTTAAAGCTTTGCTCCTATACCAGATAGAACTCAGTACCCATCATTCCACTGTTAAGATAGGAGTCAGCTCGCAGGGGTAGGGGGTACCTGGTGCATCTGCCTCTTAGCCACTGTGCACTCAGGGCCCTGGGCTCATAAATTCTAGAGAGAATAATAGAGCTCAGAACCACCTGCCAGGCCACCCAGGGACAGGGAGAAAAAGCCAGACCCTGCCACACCCTTGAGACCTCAGGCTGGAACCTCACACTCTTCCCACAGAGGACATTCTGATTACTGTCAGTTACATTCCTAACCCAGTCAGATGCTGCAGCCTTTGTCGGTTCATTGACCTGGAGCCATTTGTAAAAGCTCCAGACTGGTGCTTCCCACTGCCCTGTCTGCCAGCCTTTCTCTGCCAGCATTGTGCCCCGCTAAAGCAGCAGCTATGGTGTCATTTCTCTGAATTTTACAAAGTCCCTACTTTCCTGTCGACTCTTTCAGTAGAACTTGGTGCTGGCTGTGGCAGGCCCAGTGTCCCCACCCCTGGGAACGGCTTGTGCATTTGCTCCTCAGCAGAGATGCCGAGGGAGAAGCCCCCAATGGGAAGTTGTTTAGTGTCTAAGAGACAGGCATTCCTGCGGGCCTCCATTCAAGGAGAGCTTGCAGTCAGTTCCGCACAGGAGATGGAAACTGGGCTCCTGCTCCAGGCCTGGCACTGGCTTGCGACTGCGTGATGGCCCAGGCCCTCAAGCCTCAGGTCCTGCTTCCCCCACTGATCCTGAGTGATCTAGGGTGAGAGGCCAAGCTCTGAGTGCCTCCAGCTCTGGCTCTGACTCTCTTCCCCTGACTCCCATTCTCTCCACCCATCGTCTAAGCTCCTGGAGCCAGAGGGGCAGGGACTAGGTCTCAAGGCTGTCTTGGCGAGCTCAGTTCTGCCTGTGGGAGTCATGGGAAAGTGGTTTTGTAGAAGCAGTAATAATGGTACCATGGCCTAACCCTCTCCTTCCCAGGGTGCTAACCCTTAAACCCAGCCATCATTTCCTTAGTTCTCCGTATAGTGGTGTGGTTCTTGTCTCACAGACGAGGAAGCAGAGCCAGACAGGGCATGCTAGTCAGGCTCTGAGCATAGGACCAGGCCTCCAGGTCCTGGAGCAACTCTCAGGTGTTTCCGCCAGTGTCACCCTCCAGGTCTCTCCCATCTTCAGTCTTCTGGTGACAGTCTCGCCCTGATGTTTCTGCCTGTATCCTACCCGGTCACCACCCGCAGTGGTGGACGGGTCTGTGCAGAAATTCCTTTGCCTTTCTGAGCATGGCTTCCTGTAAAGGGGGTGGAAGAAACTGCGGACCAGTCACATGGTAAAGATGGCCTCTGTGGCTAGCCCACATCCTGCCATTTTCATGATCAGGAACAGAACTGTTTGGCTATTGCTGAGGATAGAGGCCCCAAACTTGCCCAGAGTGAAGCAATTTGTCCGACTTTGCCATCTAGAATGGAGCTGACCTCAACCTCAGACTTGGTCTCCTGTCTCCCATGTTCCTCCCCAGAACTGCAGCTCCACATACTCACATCTGAGCTCAAAGTTCTGGGGCACCCTAAGACTCTTGTCCCCTCACTCTGCCTCAGGCTCCCACCCCGTCACACCAGCCATGGAAAGACAGGCTAGGTAGGGCTAGATGTCATTAAATGAAGTAAAGATTACAAGAAATTAAAATTCCAAGGGGCGTGTAAGTAGAATTTAAACCCTGTTGGACCCGAAGATGCCTCAAAATGCCAACCATAGCCTTTTGCCCACAGCACTCACTTGAAGCTCAGAGGGGAGGGGAGGGGCTGACCATAGGGAAGTTGGGAGGCCAGCAAGATGGTGACAGAGTGATGGATGGGCCGGGTTCTGGCAAAAGGTTGTATCCTTCCTGGTATCCTCATTCATCCCCTGGTTAGCCTTCCTGCCTCTCCTGTCTCCAGCATCTTTTTCCTGGTATCCTCATCCCTTCCCTGGTTAGCCTTCTTGCCTCTCCTGTCTCCGGCATCTCTCTCCTGATATCCTCATTCATCCCCTGGTTAGCCTTCCTGCCTCTCCTGTCTCCAGCATCTCTTTCTAGGCTGTCTCCTCCTCCTGCTCTTGCTTTTCTGCTTCTTGCCTCTTCCCTGCCCTTGGCACAGCAAGTTCTGGTCTTTCACACACTCCGTCTCTCCACCTTCACTTCTTCCTTGGACTCCTCCAGGTCCGTGTTGTCTGCTTCTGTGAGCCCTGCCTGACCCCTGGAGAGTGCCTGCCTTTCATAATCGCTCTGGCTACTGTCTTCCAGGTCACCCAGACCCCAGGCTACATACGTGAATGGCAGCCTCCAAGCAGCTCAACACATCAAGCAGGAAGCCCTACCTGACTACCAGGCCATGGCCAGTGCCCACACGCCCCTGCCCACCCACTGCCGGGCCCCATCTTCCACAAACCTGCAGCCAGAGTTGGACTTCTCAGGCCGAGGCCTTGCGAATCCTGCACCTTCCTGCTACCTTCTGGGCAATGAACCTGTCTCGGGCCTGGGTCCCCAACCTGAGGCCCACCTCCCTGAGGGCAGCCTGAAACGCTGCTGCCTCCTGGGCCTGCCCCCCACCTCTTCAGCCTCTTCCTCCCCCTGTGCCTCCTCTGACATCAATCCTGCCATCCACTCTTCCCAGACAGCTCTAGTTAGCTGTGTAAATGGACTCCGAAGCCCACCTTTGCCAGGAGAGCTGGGGGGACCTCCCAAGCGATCACAGCCGGGGCCTGGGCCTGCATCCAGTGATGTCCACGAGGGCAGCTTGCAGCTCGAAGCATGCCGGAAGTCAGGCTTCCTGAAGCAGGAGCCCCTGGACGAGTTCTCGGAGCTCTTTGCTCCTCACCAGCAGGGTTTGCCACCCCCCTACCCACTGCCTCAGTTGCCAGCCGGCCCCAGCCTTGGAGGCCTCGGGCTCGGCCTGGCGGGCAGGATGGTGGCCGGGCAGCAGGCATGCCGCTGGGTGGACTGTTGCGCAGCCTACGAGCAGCAGGAGGAGCTGGTGCGGCACATCGAGAAGAGCCACATCGACCAGCGCAAAGGCGAAGACTTCACCTGCTTCTGGGCCGGCTGCGTGCGCCGCTACAAGCCCTTCAACGCCCGCTACAAGCTGCTCATCCACATGAGGGTACACTCGGGCGAGAAGCCCAACAAGTGCATGGTGAGTCCAGGGGCTACCAGGCCCTCTCAGTGCCCCCCCCCACAGAGCTGCACCACCCACTGCACTAGAAAGACCCCCTTTGGGAATAAGACCAGGCTCCCACAAAGTCTGGGGCTGGGGGTGCGGCCAATGAATAAGACCGTCTGGGTTCCTGTCACTGGAAACATTGACAGGATTGCCTTGTCCCTGCCGGGGGGTCCTGGCCCCCACGCTGAAGCATTAGATGGTATTAGATGTAGTCTAGCATGCCACGCAGCCTGGTGCCACGTGACCTCTGAACCTAAAGCAAGCCTGGCCAGGCTTATCTTTTCCATGTCACCCGAGGGTGGCAGATGGTGAGTGAAGTGTGCCCTCCTCCAGCCCTGGCCTTTACCCAGTGTACCTCGACAGCCCTGGCTTCTGGAGAGAGGTCCTGGACCTCTAGGACAGGCTTGGAGCTGAGGTCGAGGGCTGGCGTCTGGCTCTGCACGACACCAGCAATGCTCCGGCTGGGGTTGAGACAAAGGTCCAGGGAGAAAGAAGCATGTGTGTGCCTGAGCATTCATGCAGATACACACGAATTAGAAGCAGGCACCCTGCCTGGCCCTTCTGGCTGGTCATGTCCACGTCCTGTGCTTGCTAGAGTGGAAAGCCTTATCAGAGTCTAGGAGAGGGATCTTAGGCCCCGTACCCATCCTCTGCCCTCCAGACGCAGCAGCCTGGGATGGAGGGCTGGGGCCCAAGGTTGCTATACAACACCAATGGTACACAGCACCCGGGCCATGCGCGTCTCCCCTTGCTCACTGCCAGACAGTAGTGTTTCCAGCCTGTATTTCTGTCCTGCTAGGCACTGAAGATGTGTGTCACTTGCGGTCTTAGAAGGGCTCCAGGTCTCTGGTCAGAGCACAAGGTGATATTCGTGGGCCATCAGATCAGAGGTGTTATTGTTAGTCATTGTGGTGTAAAGTCATTTTCTTGGGGCCACACTTGTCCCCAGGGCTCACCTGCTTGTGACACTGAGCTGGATGTAGACTGAGTGTGCCCTCCAGTCTTGAAGGATAGGGAGTCTATCAGTCCATAGATAGGCTAAAGGTGGACAGCCCTTGAGAGGAGGAGGGTAGAGACTGGGCTTGTGAACTGTCGTGTGGCACAGAGGTATGGGGAAAGGGCTCCGAGCTGGTGGAGAATTTTACTTGGACGTTTCAGGGCAGAGAGTATGCGGGCAGGAGGGCTGGTGGCTAGGCTTGTCTCTAAAGATGCCACATCTATGTGGGGTCTTAAGACACATGACTTAATGAAAATTAATGAAAGACGTGCCTCATCTCCAGGATGGGAAAGATCAGCAAGTCCATAGGTCAGGGCTGCTAGCAACAGCCTGTCTCCTCTCGAGATGCTGAGCCACAGTTGTCAATCACAGTTTCCTCCTGTTGGGAACCCAGGGTACCTGTGTAGACCCAGGAAGTAAACTAAGTGGCCAGCAGCCTTCTCATGCTGTGGCCTTCTGTGCAGAATCCCAGCATCCACGGGTGCCCTATGAGATAACTTGATCCCCAGCTGGGTGGGGGGAGCGCTGGGTGCTCAGAACAGCCTTGGGTCTCTCCTGGTCAAGGGTCCCACCTGATTCCATCCTCTACAGGACACAGGGGACCTAGGTTTGCTTCTGTCACAGTCCGGGATGTGTCCTCAGGCCATCAGGGACCAGGCTGTGACAGCCCTAGATGGAGTTTGAAGAGGCCCAGGGAGAGGAAGCCCAGAGGGCTTCCTGGGGGTGGTGTTGATGCCTCCTGGGGATTGCATTTAGTCTTTTATCAGGTCACGATGAAACCCAAGGCTTTCACATGTGGAAAAACAAGGGTCAGAGGTGAGATGAGTCTGGCCAGCTTCCCACACTCTTGACTTTACCCCCGCCAGGTTAGAAGCGCAATGGTGACAGTTTAGGCAGGCAGCTGCTGAACGCCAACTTCGCAGGCGTGTTCTAAGTGGCAGCTCCGTGTCATCCTCACCACAGCTCTGTGAATAGACACTGTACACCTCCATTTTACAGATGCGAAAAATGGAGGCTCAGAGAGGTTGCATAGTTGGTTCCAGGTCACACCGCTAGTCAGAGAAAATAATAGAAACAAGATAACAGAGGCTGAGAATCAGAGTAGTAGTGATGATAAAGATAAGTTGTCCAAAATTATAACACTAGTAACCACCAGAGGGGAATTGAACCCACATCCCTGTCTGTTGCAGCGCCCTTGTTAATATAGCTGCTTCTTTGGGGCCCTGGGTGCAGCCACCTGCAGTGGGAACTTCATTGGAGCCCCACCCACGGTGGTGGAGTCGGTAACCAGGGCAACGGGCAGACCCCCAGCCCACACCCAGGTGAATAACAGCTCCCATCCCTGTAAAATTATTAATTTCTCATGACAGGCCTGTGCTACTATGTCTGTAATAGACAAAGGAATCTTGGACCTGAGGCCTCTGGAGGACAGGAAATAGATGAGACGTTTTGATTGAGGAGTAAATGGCCCACTAAAATAGCAGTTAATCCTTTTATTATCTTCCCAGCAGCATTTCCACAGCTTTCATGAGGTAAGCTCCCCTTACCCCATCTAACTGCAACACCCCCGTGCTGGCAGCTGGTTTAAATTTAGCCTCTGAAGCCTCTGCTTGATTGGGTACCAGGCAGCCTGGGTGTGGAGAGAGGAGCCTGCTCCCCAGTTCTGCTCCTTAGTCCTGAACCCTGCTGGCCTCCAGGTAACCCCGCCCTTGCCTGGCCCTGCCCGGCCAGCCCTGCCCTGTTTAGTAAAGAAGCCTGAGGAAGCTTCTAGATCTCCCTGCAATATCCTGTTATGGTTCCTGTTGCTCCTGGTGTTTTTCAGTCTTATTAAATCTGGGGCTTCGTCTGCATTACCATAACAAGCCAATGTCCAACCCAAATACTGATGCGGCGCCTTGAAGACATGGTCTTTGGAAAGATTAGTCCCGGCTTTTTTCGGTTGGTTCCACCAGACAGTCAGAATCCTCATTGTCTGAGCTGCAGAAGCCTGCAGCCGTGAGGCAGAGATGGAAATGGTGGCTTCTCAGAGCCGCCCTGCCCTGTTGTGGGCTCTGTGAAATGATAGTGAGGCCAGAAAGATCCCTTGCTGTGGTGAGGAATTTTAACCGTGCTCTTCCCCTGCGTGGAGAGCGTGAGCAGAGCTGCAGAGCCCACCAGAGTCCTGCATGCCTGTCTTCCAACTTAACGCTGCCCTTTGCCAGCTCTGTGACCTCGGGCAGGTGACTTACCCTCTCTCAGCCATGGAATGCTAATTTATAAAGCGAGGCAATAACAGTATTTAACTTCCAGGGCTGTTGTTAACAGGATTGAAACAGATGGTTCAGGGAGAGCTCATAGTTGCTCCCCTTCCTCTCCATTCTGCTTTCTGCCTTGATGTCTCTGGTGATGGGTGCAGTGGTCCTTGCGGGTTGGGACAGAAGCGCTTAAGGCTTCTTGTGGAAAGAAAGAAACCAAGAGTCAAGGGAGCCATCCATGGAGCCTGGTCTGGAGGTTGCTGAGCTCTGCAGCCTCCACCGCCAGCGAGGCAGGCAGGGCAGCTTCAAGTGCCTTGTGGGGCGGCTCTGTAATCACCTGCGTTTTCTAGAGAGCCCTGTTGCATCTTTTCTTGGCGCTGCTCTGAATCAGACAGAGTCTGCATGGGTGTCTGTTTTTCTGTGCTGGTGAGCAGCTGAGATCTAAACTGTTCCCCATCTTGCCCAGCCCTGACCAGCCGTAGCCTTCTGCCGTCCATACCTCTCCTGTCAGTCTGGTCCAGGTGCCGTTGGGCGGTGACCTGGGCACAGCTCAGCATTACCGACAGCCAGAATGAGCCAAGGAAGGCAAAACTCAGTCCCTGAGGGCTCCCAGGAGGCCCCGCCACTCCCTGGGACCAGAGTTACACTCATGCCTAATCCTAGACTCCTTGCCTCAGCGATACTGCCTCCAAACAGAGCCCTGGTGCTGGGGGAGGGAGGGCAGAGAAGGCGGTTGTATACTGAGAGTCTCTTTCTGTTGCAAGGACAGTGCGAGCCTCAGCTTAGAACAAAGCTGGGCAAACTACAAGGCCCAGAGGGGCTGGTGAGCTTCCAGGGGTCATGGTCTGTCGAGGGCTGAGACCCACAGAGCTGAGAAGAGAGGCGGCTTTTGAAGTCTGGTATCCTGTTAACATGGGAGGTCAAGGGGAACTGGGTACTGGTACCTACAGAGACTGGCTACAGCCAGCTCTCTCTGTCACCTAGCCCAGCTGCACCCCACTCATGACCTTTGCTTAGCCTCTTCCTTCAGCAGCCCTGTCCAGTCCCAGCAGATAGTGTCCCTGAGCAGCTGCCCTGCTCCTGGCTCTTGAGCCCAGCCCTGTCAGGTTGGGCATATTTGGAGGCTAACACTCCAACTTACCACACCATCAGATCCTCATCCCAGGGACTCCTTAGGGCCCAGGGATGTCTTGATGGGCAGGTCTGCCAGTCCTGCCCCATGTGTGCAGACAGGTTATAGGGGAGGCAGAACCAGAGAGGGTTGTCAGGAGCCTGGTGTTGCACAGCAAATGCAGCAGTGTTGGGCTGATAAGCAAACGCTGGGCAAAGTTTAGGCTGAGAGAGTGACCCTTAGATAAGGAGAGACACTCCCTGACATACTCACCTCTCTGAGCCGAGGCAATCGAGGAAGATATCTTGATGTCAACCTCCGGCCTCCACTTGCAGCCACAAAGGCAAGTTCACACACACGGGGGTGGGGTGGGGGGGCTATCTTTGGAGCATCCAGGGCAAAGAGATCCCATCCCACTGTGACGATGGACACAGGGATCAGCATCCCCATTGTACAGGAGGGAAGGGCAGTGGGGACAGCAGTGTGGGGCAGGGCCACACTCGGGCTGGGACACCAGGGGTAGGATTGAAGGTAGATCTCAGCCTGACTCCAGACAAGTCCTAACCGTAGCTCTAAACCACCTCTCAGGTGGGGAGTCAAGTCAATCCAGACTTGAAATGTATTCTGCAAG